TGGAATCAAAGGCCATTGGGCCCATATTTGTCGCACAGTCAGTCACTTGGCTGAATTGTATCGGGCCTCAGAACAAAGGCAGGGAAGAGTTGCCGCCAAAATAAATTATGCTGCCTACGATGGCACATTTGATTATGTGCTTAATGAAAATATCACACACCTTGATGCCGATGATCTTCTTGATATAGCTGATGATGTTAAATGATGAAATATTATTGTGTATCTCTTTATGTTACTTTGATGCTTTCTGCCCCGCATTTTGTAATACTCCATATAATATAAGTCTATTTTGATTATACTACTAATATATGTTTTTATTATTTTTACCTTCTTGCAAAGATATGGATTCCAAATATTTTGGAGCCGATGACAATATTTGTCTTATCGACAGTGCTACGACTCACAGCATTTTGAAAAACAAAAGTTATTTCTCCCATCTGAACATGGGAAAGACCATTATTGTTACTATCAGTGGTGCATAAAAAATGATTGAAGACTCCAGAAAAGCTACTGTATTTCTCCCTAAAGGGACAAAAATGGCAACTTGAAAATGTCTTGTTCTCAAGCAAAGCTCGAAGGAATTTACTGAGCTTTAGTGATATTCGGAAAAATTGGTATCACATTGAAACATTGAATGAGACAGAAAATGAGTATCTCTTGATAACTCAGATTGTGAATGAAAAAAGACTTGTTAAAGAAAAATTGACATTATTTTCTTCCGGCTTATACTATTACTCAAAAGCCATTGCCGTTGAAATATATCACCTAGTAGACCAAATGACTACTAGTGAATTTAAAACTTGGCACGATCGACTTGAGCATCCTGACAATATAATGCTGAGGCAAATTGTTAAAAATTCAAATGGCCATTCATTGAAAAAAGAAAAATATTCTGGATCCGAATGAATTTGCTTGTGTTACATGTTCCCAAGGGAAGTTAATAATCAGAACATCTCTAACAAATGTTGGAATTGAATACCCAGCTTTTTTGGAAAGAATTCAAGGTGATATTTGTGGACTCTATAGATCCATCATGTGGACCCTTCAAGTACTTTATGGTACTAATTGACGCGTGCACGCGATGGTCACATATATGTTTGTTATCTACTCGCAACCTAGTTTTTTCTAGACTACTTGCACTTAAATTGCGAGCACAATTTCCAGATCACCCGTTAGAAAAAATACATTTAAATAATGTTGGAGAGTATTCATCACACACATTTGATGATTATTACTTCATGTCAATTGGGATTATTGTGGAACATTTTGTTCCCCATGTACATACGCAAAATGACCTGGGTGAATCCCTTATCAAAAAATTGCAATTAATTGCTAAATCATTGTTAATGAGGTCTAAACTTCCCGTATCAGTTTGGGGACACTATATTGCATGCAGCAACCCTCGTAAAAATAAGGCCGACAAGTCATCATTGTTATTCCCCTACACAATTGGCATCTGAAAAAGTACCAAATATATCTCAGCTGCAAAGTTTTGGGTGTGTTGTTTATGTGCCAATTGCGCCACCCTAACGCATGAAAATGGGACCTAAAAGAAGGTTGGGTATTTATGTCGGGTATGAAACACCCTCGATTGCGAAATATCTTGAACCAACAACGGGTGATTTATTTAGTGCAAGGTTTGCAAACTGTCATTTTGATGAATCTCATTTCTCAACATTAGGGGAAGACAATAATCAACTAAAAAAAGAAATTTCGTGGAAAATACCACTTGACTTTGATCCTCGTACGAAACGTAGAGAACTTGATGTTCAAGAATTGTACATTTGCAGAAATTGCAAATCAATTACCTGATAGTTTTAGTGATGCTGTCAGAGTTACGAAATCATATATTGCAACAGAAAATGCACCAGCTAAAATAAATATCCCAAAAGAGAAAGTGCCACGTTCTAGTGAACATACTGCCCGCGTAAAATGTGGCAGGCCATTGGGTTTTAAAGATAAGAATCCACGAAAGAAGAAAATTGTGAGTACTGGTGAAGAGATCAACAATGATCAAATACCTTAAAAGATCAGAACTACAACCCCTGAAGAGGTTGATACTACAACTTTTGATGAAAGTGAGAATGAAGTTATCGAAACTTCTGTAAACTAAACCACCAGTGAAAAATATTGGAACATAAAGAAAACAATTATTGATAATGCATTTGCATATTCTGTAGCACTCGATATAATGAAAGATGACAAGATTATGAACCGAAATCAGTTGAGGAATGTCGAAAAAAAGATGATTGAGTAAAATGAAAAGACGCAATTCAATTTGAATTGGAATCATTGAAAAAATGACAAGTATTTGGCCTCATAGTCCAAACACTTGAAAATGTAAAACCTGTCGGCTACAGATGGGTGTTTGTGAGAAAAAAAAAATGAAAATAATGATATCACAAGATATAAAGCAAGGCTTGTAGCCCAAGATTTTTCCCAGAGACTGGGATTGATTTTGAAAAAACATATTCACGAGTCATAGATTAAATAACATTAAGGTATTTGATGAGCTTAGAAGTACGCAAAAATCTTGATATGCGATTAATGGATGTGGTTACTATCTATCCTTATGACTCCTTAGACAATGATGTCTACATGAAAATTCCATAAAAATTTAACATACCCGAATCATTCAAAATTAAAGCCAAAAGAATCATATTTCATCAAATTGCAAAAATCTTTGTATGGGCTTAAGTAATCAGGTTGAATATGGTACAATTGCCTCAGCGAAAGCCTAACAAAAGAAGGTTTTATAAATAACTCATATTTCTCCATGTGTTTTCATAGAGAAAAATGGGCCAAGATTCGTAATCATCGTTGTATATGTCGATGATCTCAATTTAATTGGAACTCTTGATGAAATCCAGAAAGTTGTTGAATATGTGAAAAAAAACGTTTGAAATCAAAGATTTTGAAAAAACTAAATTTTGTCTTGGATTGCAAATTGAGCATTTGGAAAGTTGAATCTTCATACATCAATCAAATTCTACCAAAAGGGTACTTAAACAGTTTTTTAATGAATAAATCACATCCGCTAAGTACCTCAATGATCGTCAGAGCACTTGATCTAATAAAAGAATCTATTTAGACCAAAAGAAGAAAACGAATAAACAATTGGTCCTGAAGTGTCAACCGCCGTCAACCGCCGTCAATCCGTAACAGTCATATTTGAGTGTTATAGGTGCATTGATGTATTTTACTAATAACACCCAACTTGACATATCATTTGTCGTAAGTTTATTAGCAAGATTTAGTTAATTGCCTACTCAACGACATTGGAATGAGATTAAGTACATTTTTCGCTATCTCCAAGGAAAAAATGATCTAGGGTTATTTTACTCGAAAGATTCTCGACGTGAATTAATTGATTTTTCTGATGCAGAATATTTATCTGATCCTCATAAAGTCAAGTCTAAAACTGACTATATATTCACTTGTGGCGAAACAGTGATCTCTTGGAGATTGATTAAAAAAACTTTGAATGTTACTTTTCAAATCATGCTGAAATATTGCAATACATGAAGCTAGTCGAGAATGTATTTGGTTGAAGTCAATGACTCAACACATTTTGAAAAATTGCGGGTTAATATCTGGTGATAAAATTCCCTCAACTACAATATATGAAGATAATACGGCTTGTATAGCTCAATTGAAAGGAAATTACATTAAATGAGATAGAAAGAAACACATTTAACAAAAATTCATTTTTACTCATGATTTTTAACAGAACGGTGAAATCGATGTGCGACAAATTTGATCAAATAATAATTTAGCAGACATATTGAATAAGGCATTACCGACAACAACATTTGAAAAATTAGTAAAAAGAAATTGGAATGCGTCGGTCAAAGGATCTCATAATACTCAAAATAGGGAGAACAAATAAATACAAGAATGTTGTACTATTTTTCTTTCACTATGATTTATTTTCCACAAGGTATTTTTCTAATAAGGTTTGAACGAGACACATTCTTTGTATAAAATATCCAATGGAGAGTGTTAGAATACACATAGTGGACACTTTGACGATGTGTGGATGCTTCACAAGTTAATATGTATGTATATTGTCGATGTATTAATGACGAATTGTATACCACGTATTTAATTCTCTAGTCCTATATATATACGTGCACAGATAAGTGAGATAAGTGAAAATACAATGCCAAATAATTTACAGTATTTTTTTTTCTTTCTCAACACCGTTTCTCTCTCTCTCTTAATTAATTATACTCTCACATCTCTCATCGTTTAATACTTAAACATACATCATCCATATACTTATTATTATTATTATTATTATATATATTTATATCATTTAATACTTATACATACATCATCCATATACTTATTATTATTATATATATATATATTTATAGTACATAACACATAGATATATATCTTTTATATATACCCATACCATCGCAGACATATATATTATATATAATATATTACATTATATAAAATAGTAGTTAGCGGTATAAATAATTAATATTTTTATCAGCTAATTTTATAATAAGATCATAACAATATTTTGATTATGTTCAATTTAAATTAATACTTTTTTAAAAAATTATGAAATAAAAATTATTTCATATATAAATATATATATTAACTAATATGCATATATTATAAACGGATTGTCATGTTGATTCGGATTGAAGACTTCAATTCTAACCCGACTTATTTATTATCGTGTCGAGTTCATATCGACTTGTACACATAATTGAATCGAATCTATTACCCAAGTCTAATTATTGTGTGTTAAGTTCATATCGAATTGTTGTCTCGTGTCAACTTTTGTCAAACTCTAATGATGTTTGTGACATGAACTTTAGCAGATAATTTATTTATTGTAACTTTCATAATAATCCGTTTAAAGGCATCATATTTAGATCTAAGATCATATGGCAGAGGGATCATTGTTAGTATTATCTGTTAACATCAAAACTCAATTGTGTTTGCGTCTGTTGCTTGTCAAATTCTTGCAGAGCACATGATGATGGGAAGAGATATGCAGAGCACTTTAGACAACAATGAACAGTCGAGCAGGTCACACAATCTATGGCTGGCTACAGCTGCTGCTGATATTTACAACGTAGAATTTTGAAAGAGAATTTATAGAGTGACAACATCAACAAATGCCCAATGCTCGGCTAGAGCACCACTTTACAAGATGTTGATTTTGGAGCAAGAGGCCAATTCAAAGCTCTGCTCGACTCGGCTCGTGGAGTTATTCTTCTCTACTATCATTTTTGTCATCATTATCATCGTTTGTGCTTGCCTCATCTTCCATTTCCTTCAGTTTCTCCAGCTGCCTCAAAAGGTCTAGCCTTTCCGGGCCGTATGTGGACGGTATCTGTTAAGTAAACCAAAATAAATCAATCATAATCATGGCGGTGTTGTCTTTTTAAAAAAACAGTAAATAACAAGCTAGAGGGGGTAGAGTTCGTTTATACAAACCAGTCCGGGCATGTATCGCTGAATTGCAGCCAACATGGCAGCATGGCCGACTGCAGTAACCTGCGAGATACAGATAATGAATGCACAGGCATTAACTTGTGATATAGCATCAGGCAAAACCTTATATATGTCATCATCTCTACAAAAACTCATCGGTAGAGCAGTATCCTTTTGTATGAACACTATAATATATAACGTCAAAGAGCAGCTGACTGGATCGCTTTACCCCTTTGTGCTTAAGATACCCGAATATAAAAACTGATTTTGATGCTGCAGGTACTCAAATTGCTGTTGGATATTCTAAAGTCATGATGTATTAAAAAAAGGGCTAAAAGAATTTTACAGAGGCTGTTCTTCTTGGCAAACTGAAAGCAAAGCTAGTGCAGATGATAAAAGCAATTGTCAATTTAGGTAGCATTTCCAAACACAGCTTGGAGGATACACATATTTTGTACTCAGAGAATGAAGCAAAATGTGCCAATAATGGAAAATAGACACTAGGAATTGGTATACATAAATGTAGTTTTGAATCATAATGTCTGTCTGTCAACAGACCACACATGTGGGCAGATTCACAGTTATACCTTCATGAGGTGGTGGTTTAACTATTACAAGAAAAGCCCTTTACATGCAAAAATCAAGTATCTTCCAATAGATTTGGAAGGAGTCAAACTAAATAGAGTCAGAAGGATCACAAGGTAGTACTCAAACGGCGGTGCCATGAATAAATAGAAATTTATTTATTTGTGAAAAACCCGAGTAGAGCGGAGACTAGTAAGTGGCAAATCATATTCATTAACGGAAGCAATAAATAAGTATGACGTGCAGAAAAAAAGGATGGGAAATATGTTGAGAACAAACACAGGAATGAAGGCAGCAAGACTATAAGGGACTACAACAGTATTTTCTCGGTAACTTACTTTGCAAAAGCCCACGCCACATAATTTGTTCAGGCCATTAGTGGTTCATTGCAATAAAAGAAAACTAATAGAATTCAAAGTAAGATCCTTATGCTTACCGGAAGCAGCATGAGAACACCGATGGGAACTACTGATGCCAAGTCAGTCAATGTTCTTCGGAGAGCCTGCTTCTCTTTTTCTGTTATTTCATCCCCAATTAGGGCCCTTCTGAGCAGTCCCATAGCCGAAGCAGTATCAATGGCTAAAAGTTGAGTTCCTTGCAAGACATTCTGGTTGCAAACACACAAAACTTACACATTACAAAATGAAACAACCAAGTGGCTGACTAACAATCAACTGTGGTTGAAGACATAGGACAGGTAAATCATACTGTGCTTGTTTCTTTCAACTTATCCAGAGACTTCTCAATAATACCATCTTTCTTCTGAGCATTCACCAACCCAGGGCTTTTAGAATCACCACTTTTCTTGGATGTATCACCTTTCATCTGAATTTCATCCTACGAGAAAGTATATAATAAATATCACCAGAAAAGGCTGTACGTTATCAAGCAAAAGGAGTAGCCACTAATATTGAACAATAATGAATTTCGTGGATCATCTCCAAAGCATCAAATACTCCTTCAATATAAACACAGCTAAGAAAGATAAAAGCATAAAATCAAAAGACTGATTCATCCAATCATTGCATCCTATGAACAGAAATAGTGTAACTTGAAGTAAAGATGAGAAGCGAGCTGCACATGTAGATTGTGTCATGGAATGTACATTTATGTAAGAACTAAAAATTACTTCGGTAACAAACAAGTGAATTTATGAATGGCAAGCATGGCCATACATATTTCATTTGATAACAAACTAGTTTCAACATTTAAGTTAAATTGAACTTGTGCAGCAACATCTGTTCCACTATAATATAGGAGGAAAGAATGGGGAAAACAAAAAAAAAAAAAGAAAACCGGAGAAGCATGCATAATGAAAATTAACATATGATGATAGTAATGTTAGAACAGTGTAATGTACCTCTTCTTGTTGACACTGGTCCGTACTTTTTTGAACTCTTCTTTCAAGCTCCATTAGTTCATTCCTTAATAATTCAAACCTCTTATATTCTTCAGATCCTGATTCAGTAATATCCACCTCTGCAGCTTGTTCTGATAGCCTACCATTCTGCCAAATGCAAAATAATATTTCTTTTCATACGAAACCAACAAAATTACCATATAACATAGCAAGAAAAAACACATGCAAGAAAGCAGAATAAAACTTAATGAGGTGTATTAGAGTCAATTCATCGTTCATTACCATTGATTTATAAATTGAAAAAGACAAGTGCGAAGAACGCAATTCATAGATGGCAGTGTAGTGTGTATTGTGTGACTAGAATGGTGTACAATAACTTATAACTAGAGTAATATTAGTTAAGGCTGCAACATACAAGTCAGTATCTGAAGACATGCCAAGGAAATAACACCAAGATTCGTGTAGTTAAAATTGCAGATGATTATAAGTTTGCAACTATACATTCAGATATTTATTGTGATATAATTCATTCATATGATCTAAATATGAAACCATACCTTATCTCTCGCATAAATTCAGCTATATAAACAAGAAAACTAAAAATGCATAAATGATTTAACAAGTGCAGATTACAAAGGTGTGATGCAGTTTCTCCATTCAACCACCCACTAAATCAGATAATATTTATATAACAAGGGTCATCAGAAGGCGAAATATGATCTAAGAGATTGGAGAGCACTAATATGAGTAAATGGTTACTGCAAAGAAGGATGACATGCAGAGTATGAACCAGTACAGAAGGCAAAAAGAAAGTAGTTAGGATATTGAAGAATGAATAATTAAAGCATACACCAAGGCCAGAGGAATTGGGGGTCCTGAGCATAATGAAGTCCCAGAAACCAGAACTGCCAATCACAAGACAAAGACAATCAATCATCAGAAAAGAAATAATCAATCAATACACATTCTTAAATAATTTTGAAAATAATAATAATAATAATAATAATAATAATAATAATAATAATAATAATAATAATAATAATAATAATAAAGTGGAGCAAAAAGATATTCTAAGCATTACATACCTGCTGCTCCTATCAATTTCCAAATCAAAATTCTTGCTATCTTTTCCATTGGAATACTGTTCCTGGTCAACAAAAGATGATGTAGATTCACCGGCTACATTACCCTAGCATAGCAAACAGAAGACAAAAAAGAACAAATCAAATTTGTGACTACTATGGTTTTACTGAATATCAGCTTTCAATTTCCTGTCTATTTCACTTCTGGGAAGTGCATCAATTGAAGGAGAAGATAACAGTGAGCACTTATTTTCGCTTTGATCAAAACATAATATCTGGATCTTGGCATATTTTACAAGCAAGTTCAAGAGATAAGAAATGCATTATGTATAAAATAAGAGGAAATTTTGCACATAACCCATGCATGAATGCCTTAAAAGTTCAGGTCACATCAAACCAACAATGATGGGTAAGATAGAGAGAAGAGAGAGTATATACGCAAGATATTATCCTTATGGTTAAGCTTAAGCAAGTACTAACTGTTACATTTCTGGCATAAGAAATGCATGTATTTAAAGAACCCATAATAGTAAAACTGTAATTGCAAATAACGGAGGGTTAATTCCAATTAAAGAAGTGGAGTCTAGCTATAATTAACATGTTGATCTGGATAATATTAACATATACCTGCTGAAGTGAGGCTTCCTTAGCTCTGAAAGATGCCTCAAGAAACTCAGCCTCCTTCTTCAGTTTCCGTATCCTTTCAAGGTCTGAACAGGCAGCTTTCAAGTGTTCCTTTCCAGAACTGAAACTTGATACATGTAGTTCCTGAAGCAAATCTTCAAGTCGTATAAGTGCTTCTTCAACACTCTCAAGAGCCTAACAAAAAACAGATAATATAGTGCATCATCACAATAATCATTTTCATACTAAAAGCACAATGCAGTCTTTAAAGACAAACTCATTTACTAAATTTAAGCTGTAAACATCCATGAAGCAGCTATAATCATAACAGCTTCATACTGATTAAAGAAACATCTTAACTTTGCATCTTCAATTGACGCAATAAACAGTAATAATTCAAATCTGCCAAATTTCACATTGAAAAGATCTTGTGTAGCCCACGAGAGAAAATGGTCTGCTGAGGCTCTTTTACTAACATCACTTCCTAACAAATATATACTCAGCAGGAGAAAGGGTATGACTATTTTATCCTCTATGCTTACATGGAAGAATAAAGTGTTTATACATGATTTTACACAATACAGAATCTGAGTACCTTATCAAATGATTGTGATTCTTTTTCAACTGGTGGAGAAACCCTGTGGATAAGTTTCAGAGTATTAATTCCAGTACCATGCATTAGAATATAAGATCTACAACATTCTAAAACATTAAATAGAAAAAGATTCTGACGATAAATGAAATCCCAATGAATTAAAAAAAAAAAAAAAAAAAAGCAGCAGCATCCAAGAGCATCTTAACAACTTGAGTTTTTCTGTTGCACACAAGAAAACTCAATGGCCTCTTTTAATATGCATCCTTTGGCAAACCATTTATTACCAATTTACCATCATTCAATATTACAAGGTACAACAGTCTAGTATTCCACAGCCAACAATTATTGAAATATTTAAGCAGTTTGCTTAAAGATAGATAGGGTATGTTCTTTTGGTGATTTTTTTTGGATTTTGGTTTGAATAGTGGTATGGATGTGATGTTTGTGGGAGGAAATTATGTACTTCATAGGGAATCGTGAAGATTGAATTTTAAAAATTGAAAAAAAAAAAAAATGGAATTGCCAACCAAACAAACACAGATATTCTCCTACCAGCATTGCAAGCACACAAGCAAAAAAGTTCTAATATTGAATCTTATCAATTGAATGTTGAGCAATACAGGAGAGGAGAGAAGTGGATATGTGCATTCCCTTCTTCAACTTACCCTTTTATTCCCATATCCTCCATGCACACTTTCAATTTGTTGTGCCTGTAAGATGTGAAAAATAAAAATGGCTTATTGTACTGTTAAGTTGAATATATCAACCTAAAAGTCATAAACGAAAAAAATGGAGGAAAGAAGTGAAATACCCCTTGGAAAGAAACCTAGCAGCTTTAACATTGGATGGATTCTCCAGCCATTTACTGTACTTTATAAAGCTCTCAATCCAGTGGGAGCAAACATCCAAGGCTAGGGGGATAGCAACGGGGTTGGGAGGACCTTCCTCGTGTTTGTGTCCATGAATGGGTTTAGATATATTGCTGTACCCTGGATAAAAAGGAAGCCAATCCAATTCTTCACACACAACCTGTGACATCAACAGACCATTTACCTTCTTGAAACATGCAGATTCTTCTTAAAATTCATTTATCTTTTGTTCTAACCTCCACATACAGTTGATAAGAACTTATTGCCGACAACTGTGGATAATAGAGAACAGTGCCGCCAATTAGGTACCTAAATAGACAAGATAGTAAGTACAGAAGAAAAAGAGTAATTAGGCTATATAGAAAATGCAGGCATCTCTGACTTAGAAATTGCACCGTATGAATTCTTCAATCGGTTCATCCATGGTTTTGAAGCCATTCGAACATAGGAAGGACTGAGTACTTCTCCCCAAGGCAATGAAGAATCCAAATATGGCTAAGTCCCTCTCCAGAACCTCCATTTCATGAATGAGAACGAAACAGTGAGCATCAATAGGAAGAAAGCAATCTAGCAAGTTTCTGGTGCACATAGGCATAAGGCATAAAAAGTAGGTTCAACCACCCCTTTATGTTATCACATCTAGAAAAAACAATCATAATCACGCATGTAAGAAATATTACAACCCCATAGTATCACAGAACAAATCTGGTTTGCCATATTATCAAGAAAGTTTGTGTCTGTCACCAACTAGTAAAATGCAAATACAGAGGTTATGCTTCGGGGTTGAACTCCCAGATGTCAAGAGCTTGATGAGGTGCTATTTAACTCAAACTACATATTTCAAAGGAAAACCCACAACATGCTTATAAGTCATAATTGTATTCTGAAGCTAATTTCAAAACTTCTAGCATCGTTAACAATTTATCCAAGTAAATAAGTTGGAATGGAAGTTCACATATTATGCTTGCTATATAACAATTGAATTCCTTAATCCCTTAGGATCCTTTAACAAAGAGAAAGTTTTGATCATATTCCTTGGTAAAAGTCTAGTATTATTGCAAAGCAGATGATCACTTTAGAAAATGCTGAATGCTAAAATTTCCAAATAAGAGCACCCGCAATGGTGCATCTCCTCGCCATGTTACCATTTTAAAAAAAAAAAGAAAATATTGAAAATATTTCTCATAAACATATTTGTACTTTATGCTAGGGCACATGGCATATGTATAAAATATATATTATAAATGTGTATATATATTGTTTTCGGTAATTATTTTTAAATTTGTTATTTTATTTTAATTTCGTAATATTTCTATAATTTATAGTAAAATTTAATATTCTATAAAATGATACAAATATTGAATATATTTTTATTAATTAAAAATTTAAATGTTCTCAAAAAATACATAATAAATTAAATATTAATTAAAAAATAATATTAATTTATTATTAATTAGCTATAAAATTAATAAAATATTATAACTTTTTTTATACATATGAAATAATATGGAAATAAATATAAATAAAAAAATTTGAGATGAATCTCTTTATTGTAGGTATAAAATTGAAAAAAGTATCTTTGCTTACGTGGCGGAGATAGAAAATGATGTGGAAAATAAAACGTATACTAAAGAATGAGTATGTTGGTTGCGGATGCTCTAAGTGCTTCAAATTAAGAAAGTACAGTCATTTTAGAGCACAGATATGTACTTCTATTATAAGTTAGAGCATTTCAAAAAATCAATCTGATCATCATCAAATAATGTGCAAATACAAACAGAATTATCCCTGTCTAACCTCAATACTTTCACTGGTTGTGAGCCTGGACCATATTCTCTCCCGATCAATAGCTCGCTGCAGCTGCCTTTGTACCAGATCCACCCAAAATGTAATTTCTTCGGCGCCCAACTCATTTTTCACTCTGCATGAAGCAGCTCGAGGACCAAAATGTACAAGAAACTCTCTACGCAAGCCAGTTTCTTTTATTGAATGGTAAGCTTGTCGAACAGGAACAAATTCAACAAGCATGTCCATCAACCTACCACTTGTATCAGGGATTATGGAAAAGAATTGAGCACAAGAAACTTTAGTTGGACCAAGTTTTGTGATTGCTGCAATGCAGCTTAGTGAGAGTATCAGAAGGGATACATCGCTTGAGTTACCCGGACGTGAGGGAGAGCCTTTTATGTACCTTTTAAAATAAGTAAATACATAGTTCAGAGATAGAGGACAAACTTTTGAACGTCACCAATGGAATTGTTAGTAATTGTGTAAGATATAATATGGTTACCGCACATCGTAGTGAGTTCATTTCTTACAGTGCAGTAGCCGAAGAAAAGCGTTGCTCCTTTTCAAAGTGCTCAACAAAGCTGGCTACCACAGCAGGGATTTGTTCAGACCAAAACCAGTCAAAACAGTCAGGCTGTTCAGATAACAACTTGTCTCTAATTGCACTCTCCAAAGGAGCAGACTGCCGAGATAAGCTAAATCAAAACGAAAATAAAGTATTACATATGTTTGAGGAAACAGAATATAAACTGGAAAGCAAATCGCACATATTCCACACAATGGGAACATTGGAAGTAAATAAGGCGATGCTCAGGTCTTGTCTCTTTGTGCAATATTACATATTTATTATATTTAATTCCTCAATAACACTGCCTCACAAGCGTTGCCAGTGAAACATTTTTTTCTGAAATTGGCGGCACCGTGGAACAGAGGACCTCATGCTCTGACACATTTCAGCTCACATAAAACTTAAAAGTTGAAAGGGTATAGAAACATTTTATATTTCTTTTATAGATTTCTTCAAAAAATAAATAAATAAAAAGCGGTTGTATGTCTAGTACAAGATGTGAGAAACTATAGGTTGTGTTTGCTTGTTGGTTTTTCACTATTACAAAACATTTTTTCCCCAAAATCATCAAATCAGACATCTATATTTCATTTATTATATTATACTGAAATTTACTTTGAGTTAAAAATTAAAAACATCACATCAACACATATTTATATCACATCAAACAACTGTTTCAATTTAAAATTTTACTATTCAAAACCCAAACCCAAAACCAAAACCAAAACCCACAACCAAACACAAATTGGTTTTGCTTAGACATATGTTGTAACTATTTTGGAGTTTTGGATCGGTTTGGGAATAGTTAAAAGTTGAATAGAATTAGATGTTGGATGTGATGTTTTGAATAGAGAATAATTTTTCTTTTTCATGTCATATTTTAAATGAAAAAATAAGTTTTGAATGTGATGTTTTTAGAGAAAAATTTTGATGAATAGTGTGAATGAAAACATAAATAAACAGAGGCTATAATTTGAGGCAACAGGGCAAAATTTGACCTAAGTTCTGCATCAAGCAATTCATAGGAATCCATCTGGTGAGAAGAGAATGTCATACCTCCTCTGCACAAAAACATTGATATCTCTGTCTCTTCCATATCCACGGGATGAAATCTCACTTGCTGCTAGGAGTTGAGATAATACAGCAGCCTGAAGAAATTTACAAGTCTTTATGAAAGCAGACAAGATAACACTCTGAAATTCAGCCACCATTACGACTAATCCACTCACTGATACAGTTACAACTTACAACTTCATAGATTTACCTCACTCTATTAAACCAAGTAGGATCACTGGAAGTTCAAAAGTGTATTTCATCACACAAGATTGGTGCATCAGCAAGAAGTGGCCTCAAGAAGGGTATCATGTCTTCAAAATAATTCTTCTTTGCTTAATTTGAAGTAGATATGAAAATATGCACTTATGAATAGTTCAGCAAGCATTGATTTCGTAGTGAATCTATTATGTGGCTGTGGAAGAAAAACATTAGGTGAATATAACGTCCATCATTTGGTTGCCTGCAAGGGGATCTATTAGAATGAAACTTAAATGAGTTTGATCTAGTAAAGACTAAAGAATGAATATATCAGAAATTCCATTACAAGAGCAAGGAGAAAACATAAATCACAAGAAAAGGGAAGCTTTTTTTTTTTTTGTCAGTGTCCTGCAAGCACACTCATTTTTACTATTAGAAAATCAAGACAGCGAGATATTGCACAAAATGACACTATCCACAATCTTCCACTTGTAAGATATATCAAAGTCGGAAGATAGATATAGCTAGACACTTTCACAAAATTACCAGGTATTAACAGGTTGTATTATTTTCAAGTACAGAGAAAATCTATATTTCATCTGCATCTGGATGAAAAAAGAACAAATAAAAATTGTGAAGCATATCTGAAAGTTCCATGTTTTTCCTTATGTTAGATAGCTGTAGACAGAGAGCATCTCTATTAGTGCTATTCATCTCAGCTTCAGGTTGAAGAAGACAGACATAAGTACCAGATTTTCATTCCCCCCTACACAAGTGACCTAAACATAATGTGCAATAAACAAAATATGTTGGTACTAAGTTCTATAACAACCTGATAAGAAAGTGGCTTAACCCAAGCATGCTTGTCAACTCCAAGCCAATTTTTTGAGAACCAAGACTTCTTAGATAATGAGCTTTGTTGCTTGATTTCCAGCTCAAAAACTCTTGCAGCATCATGCAGAAGTTGAACAAGCCTTGTATTACAGTCTCCATCCTGTAAAGACTGATTCAACTTATACCTAATTTCGTCAACATCTTCTTGAGTTCTTGCTTGGTGACTTGCATTGACTGCCATGCCATCATCAGAAGACGACAAAGAAAGAAAACTATCCACCATCCTTGATTTGCGGAAGTTAATGGACTGTCTTCTTAAATATGACAGCCTGCTGAGACTAAATTTACCATTGTCCACATGGGTCAGCCTTATATGAAATTTCTTCCTCCTATTACAAGGATATATTATCAGATTATCCAAGCCAACTATTTTTCTGCTAAAATGACTGGCCTTGACAGATTTAACTGGGGACGATAGGCTTGAAGAGCTGCAAATGAGTAATGCAGGTGTAAGCTACACTGAGGAATGAACAAAATAATGTATTATCAGGGTACTCATATAAAGATGAAATGTGTCTAAATTCTTGAAACTAGTTGTATGCCCACTTTATCCTACATAATGCAAAATAAGAAAGATAACCAGTTATTCTAACAATAATCTAAATTACACTAAAAAAAATTATTCTACAATAGAAGTAAAAATATAAATAGGAAAAAGTACAATCCTTTTAATAGAAACTTGGCATACCGCATATACATCAATGTTTTATCCTTTTGCTCTTAGCCAATCTAAATTTCAAATTATTGTGAGCTAAATTATTCTCAAGAGAACCAAATTTGATCAAAAAACAGAATGCAACTAAGAAAACTAAACCCGATAACAAGTCAATGAATGACGGCGATGGCAAATGAAATTTTTAAAAGAAATAATGTATCTCATCCCAAAACAAGCAGGGTGAAGCCATGCTTCAAGGTAGCTACAAGCATGAAGAAAGAACAGCCATATCTCACTTCCTCTCTCTCAAAGAAAAAAACCCCAGCCATATCTCACTTCCTCTCTCTCAAAGAAAAAAACCCCAGCCATATCTCTCCAATTCAGTGTTGCCACATCAGAATTACTGAATCAACTAAATAATTAGTTTTTTAACAAGTTAGTTTGGTTTTTAGTCAGTTTTTCAGTTAGCATAATCAGTTATTTTAGCTTAAAATCATCTATTACATCGGTTGCAACTGATTTTAATCCATTGAGCATATTTGAGTATTTAATTCACCTCCATATCACACAGAAAACCATTTGTTGCAATGTTTTTCCAGATCAAAAACAGCTACATCCAAATTTCTATATTTCAAATTCTTATCTGCTCAGCTTCCAATCAAGGCGCTGCTTCAGCACCTCGTGCATTTCTTCATAAACACCTTTACCATTTCTCAGAGTACTATTACATCAAAAATATGAATTTATATTACACTATGTTATAACTACACCAAATGACGTCCACATACAAAAATTTCACAACAGAAAGAATCCCAACCCAAATAACAGCTACATCCGAATTTTCCCTTACACAAGCCTGAATGATTGAAAACAAAGTAGCAGCTTACTTCTAGGCAAATAACCACACTACTCATACACGCAAAAGAGATTCCGAATCACTATAAACTCCCAAATCCATCCATCACCAAAGCAATAATTGGCGCAACATTCAACCAACTAAGAAAACGAATATAAAAAAAACACACACACACACACAATTCGCGAACTACTGACCTGGAAGAGACCAGGCTCTGGTGGCGCGCCTGCAGAGACATAAGCCGATCCCAGAAATTTTCCAATGGAGTTTGAACGCAATTTCAGTGATTGGTGTGTGCTGGGAGGATAGAAACTAGAATGAAAATTTCTGGTAAATTAATAAGTTGGGGAAAACGGATAGGCACTTTTATTTATTTATTTATTTATTTATTTATTTGTCCTTTTTCTTTATTTGGGGAGGGTGTGTGTGTACGGGGTCTGTTGCCGACGTGGCACGAAAGGGCGGGTAGGTGCTTCTGGATATCTATCTTTGTACGTGGGGAAGCCTACTATCACAAACGATATTGGCTTTGGGCACAATATACATATAGAACGTTTTTCTTTTTCTTTTTTAAGTTAACTTTAAAATATTACTTCTAATATTTACTTTTACATAAAACATTTGGTGTGCTCATTTGTGTTTTTAATAAACGTAATTTTTATATAAAGTATGTTTGAAATGATATTTTCATAATATAAAAAATAATATTCAAAATAATTTTTTTATTTTTAGTTACATTTATAAAAATTCATCAAAACCTGTTCTACTTAAACAATTATTCGAACAGACTCCAGCAAAATATGCTGACATGGAATAACAACGAACTAATGTAATGCCTCCTTTGGACAAAATATGACCATATTTTACATCATTTTTCTTTTTTTAAAAAAAATAATAATTGTTGATGTATTTTTTCAATAAATAAAAAGTAAAATTCGAAAATAGGAAATTATTCTCGAACTTGATATATTTAGCATCTGAGATTAGAAAATCTCTAAACACTGTACGATACAGAAAATTAACTGGAAATTAAAATGCTGAAAATTTAAATGATGATCCCCGAATCACTGACTTTGTCGTCGTTTGAAGTTGATTGAAGATACCTTGTCAGTTGCAAATTATAATCCTTAAATACTTTTCAGAAACGGTACTGGAAACCTCGCCCGAACGGTTATGATGCTTCTTTTTCAACAGTCTACTAACCCTTCTCCTGCTGACACGTGCCCTCAGCCGACCTTTTCAACAGTGTCCGACCTCCATACCAACCGATCTGCCTATCCAACCACGAATCGGCAGATTCTTTGGACCGACCGCAGACCTTCCGCCTTTTTGGCCCGAACGCAGCTCTTCCGCCCTGTTGGTCCGACCGCAAACCTTCCGTCCTACAAATCACCCGACTTACAGACCACCCGACTTGTTGGTCCAGCCGCAAACTTCCCGACTTACATACCACCCGACTTGTTGGTCCAGCTGCAAACCTCCCGACTTATAGACCATCCGACTGGCGGTCCTTCCGACCTATGGACCTTCCGACTGGCGGTCCTTCCGACCTGCGGACCTTCCGTCTTGCGGACCTTCTGACGTGCGGACCTTTCGACCTGCGGACCTTTCGACCTGCGGACCTTCTAACCTGCGAACCTTAGAAACACATCTATTTCACCTGATTTTCTCACAATACCCCTCGATCAGTCCAACCAACCCAATCGTTGGCCCATGTTTCCCTTTTAACTTGGGCTTTTTAACCTAATTATAAATTTCATACGTAACAACTTGTCCGCCGCCATCGGACTTTCAAACGCCATTCCTCAATCACCGTTTGGAAGTTCGCAACATAGACACAACCATACCTTTGTTACGAAACCGTCTCTGCAACCTCATAATCAACTTTCTTCGTTCCTTAAAGTTTGCAACCCCAGAATCATGGTTAATCAATACATACCTGCACTTCCTTTCGACGGATCAACCCCTGAAACAGCTTTTGTTGCGACGAAAATGCTCACTCCGACCATTCGCCCCTACTGCACTACCCCTGAAGACTCCAATCGAATGAGAGAGGTCTTGGAGGCAAGAAATCTACTGGCTATCAACAATCCCAACTACAATGCTACCCATCTTCATGATAGCATCAAAAACATCTGACGGACCCCAAAGATCCCTACCGCACCTGGTACCAAAGGGTAGCAGAACATTTCCAGGATCAATGGAAAACTCAACAGATCGACCAGGCCATACGTCTGTCTACACTCCCATGCCATTTAAATGAGAAAGTTCTTTTAGCAATGACAGCATTCTGGCACCCTGAGGCATGTACCTTCTTCCTTCCAACAGCCCCCATCGGCTCTACACTCATGGATGTGGCCATGATCGCACATTTGCCAATCGTGGGAGAAGACCCTGTAATGGGTGCCCTAGATGGGCAAGAGCCCAATGCAGACCATTTGGGCTGGTCTCTGACGGACACGAAGGAATGGGGTTGGACCAAATTTTTAAATGATCAGCAAGAAGCAGACGGAACCCCTGTAACCGACCGGGAACATACAACCTTCCTGCTCTTTTGGCTTTGTAAGTATGTAATAGTTTCCCCTTCAAAATGTGTCCTCCCTTTTCACCTTGACCTAGCCATATATATAGCTTCAGGTCGTTTCTTTTTGTTAGGCACCCTTTTTCTTGCCAATCTTTTTGAAGGGCTGTCCAAGGTTAGCACCCGCCTTACAGATAAGGATGGTAAAAAATTAGATACTGCTGCATCAGGCCCCTTCTGGTTTTTAAAATTGTGGTTCCGTCTTTATTTCCATGAAGCGTTTCAACTTGGCCACCCCCTGTTGCGCCACCACCTGACAAATCTTTAGGGATAGCCCTTAACCGACTTTGTTTAGGTTGCAACAACCTCCAAGCGTCCGACCCTATCATAACTGTCATTCTTGCCGATAATCGTAATAACACCCATTTCTACATACATAGAAGGTATACTGGTTATGTATCTGGCCTATTTTGGCCATTCCCTATATCTTCGCCTTTGTCCGAACCGGACCCACTTCCGCATCCCACTTATTCCTTCTCCTGGGATGCTGCTCTTAAGCCTAGGTCCTTATTCGTTAGCAAGAAAATTGATAAGAAAAGCCCCAAAGCATTTTATACCGTCAACTATCAGCCTCAATTTTTGGCACGCCAATTCGGATGCCAACAAGGCTTACCTGGTCCTATTGCCCGTCCACATTTGATAATTCAGAGCCCAGATGGGAAAGTCATTCCTGGTTTGATTGCGCCATACATATTTTAATTTACCAATTACATAATTTCCAACTCCTATATCCCTTTCAAAACTTCTCCAGCTTCAATTGAAACCTTTCGCGAATGGTGGTCGGTCACCTGGGCCTTAATTGCTCCTGACAAAGATCGTCTGCTGGGCATCCTTCTCCCCCAGCCTGCGCTGATATTAGGGGCGACCCCTCTGACCAACACCCGAAGGAAATTAATTACTCAAGACACTGGGTCGGGCATTCCACAGAGGAAAAGAAAAGCTCCTTAGACTCAAGCTATTCCTTCATCTGGAAACAATCAACAGCCTATAAGAGACCGCTCATCAGGTCGGGCACCTGTAAAGCCCCGACCTCATCCAGGTACTTCTCCAATAATCCTGATTCAATACAACTTCTGCACTTAACATTTTATCAACCATCATTCTGATATACAGGTCCGACTTCGGTCAGAGCAACTGCCCCAACTGCTCCAACTCCAAACGAATCATCAGAGTCACCAACCGACCAACTTCATGCACCTGAACCCCCGACCAAACGGCAGACCTTGATACAGGCGCCTTCACCAGTCGAACTGGCAACAACACGGATTTCATCAAACAGTGATGCGACTACTTCTGCTGCGGTCGCCTCAAAAGACAGAACTATCCCTGAGGCGGCCGTTCGTGATACTCCCGATGAACTCATTGCAGCCGCCCCAGATGCACCCGACCAAAGGGTAGCAGACTTAGGAGCAACCGACCTAGGGACTGCCAACTTGAGAGTAGCAGATCCGAGCGCAGCCGACCTGGGGGTTGCCCACTTGAGAGTGGCAGGCCCAAGGGCAGCGGACCCTCTACCAGAAATAAACAGATACGAGGAAGAACCCGCAGCTGCTCCACCGAGGGGCCTTTTGCAAGAATTACAAGAAATCCCTTCCTCTGACTCAGAGACTTCTGTTAACTTGGTACACGCTTGATACCCTCTTTTCCAAATTACAAGTTAGTGTTTTCATGCTATTGAATACACTACATTCCCACTGTTCAGGGACCCAGATCCAAACCTCAACGCCCATTCGAAGCAGCCGACGAGTCAGTTATCGAAGTACTAGTCGCTCATCCTTCCAGACCTATGGCTATTCTGGCACCTTCAATGACCACCATCTGTCCAGAGGTAAGAACAATTTCCACAATCAATTCTCAATATTTATGCTCCATTTAGTTCGAAATAAACATCCTTTCCTCCAGGGATGTTCTGATCTAGCCCTCTTGTCGACTGTCCCCATTCCGACGGACGTCCGAACTATAATTGCACAGGCTGTTGACCAATCTTTTCCCAACCTGGGATTAGACTTGCTTTATAGCCTTATTCAAGCCATTGGTGGTCTTTTGTTTCAAATGTCTTCAGAGTCGGCTGCTACCTCCATTCTTCACCAACTGATGGAGCGACTATCTAAACTCCGAAATGAAGTTTTGTTCGTTCAACTTTTGACGACTGAGACACCCTTGCCCGACCAGGATCGAATAAATCTGGAGGCTTCCTTGACCAAAACCAAGGAATCCATTCAACAAGCGACTGGCTAACTAGAAGGCCTTAACAACGCCAAGGCACAAATAGAAGAATCAATTCAGCAAAAAAAAGCAGAACTGAGGGCGCTTTATCAAGAAAAGTCTGTCCTGGAAGGCCACATAAACGACGAGCAACGCCTAATTGATCGGTACAAGACCAATGCAGCCGACTTGGACCAGGAATTAAAAATTCACGCCCGAACCCAACTCATCAGGCAGTACCAGTCGGCTGTCAATAACAGACGACTCTCCAGAACAGAAGACAAATGGTCCCAAATTAAACTTGTTTTAGGATCTATTTTGTAAAGTTTTGGAAACTTTGACTTGGTAAATAAAATTTTTATCCTATTGTTAAGGATCACTTTCCAAATTTCCAACCCTCCGGGGAACCAATCAATTAATCTCTTTTATAAATACTTGCAGTCCATGCAAACCAGCAAACAAGCGTTTATCCATAAATCAAACCTTGAACACACATGCTAACAGATATTAAAATGCCACCCCACCGTCCTCATGTTCCTGTAAACAATTGGCAAGGTGTTATTCAACCCTTTTTTTTGG